TACCCAGGCCAGCGAATGCCAGCCGCTGTAATGAACGCGAGGCCTCCATGCTTCTTCTCTTTGTCTGTGATGATAGATATCAGGACGACACAGTGAAGCTTTTGCTGCTTTTAGAGCAATGTATCATAACGCTTTCATTTTAAACAAGCATTGCTCAGCTTTCCTTTTTCCTGTTCATCATGGCATCAGTTGTGAGTTTATACCTGACCTTCTGAGTCAAGGATAATACATTCAGTAAGGGTGGTGATGGGGGGTGGGCACAGGAGAAGCAGCATTTTACCATTTACCAACAGATGAGTACTTTTCTGTTTGCTTTTTAAACCTTGATTTGATTTTGAAATACCTCCCTTCCTCCCATCCTATGCAGTATGGCAGTTTTTTAAAAGTTAAAATGAACTAAATTAAATGTGTTTAATGCATTTTGGGAGGGCATGGACACAGCCCTCCTTCAAATAGCCGTCCCAGCAGTTTGACCAGACCAGGGCTGGACAGTGAGGGGCTAGCTCTTTAGCTGCCTTCAAGCGGGGCCTTTCCTCACTGCCAAGGGTCAAATCCTCCTGTTAGCGTCCTGTTATGGGCTGGATTTTTGTGCCCTTCCCCCAATACATGTGGTAAAGGCCTGTTGAATCCCTAACCCCCAGGGTGATGGTGTTTGTAGGTGGGATCTTTTGGAAGGCGTTAGATGAGGCCGTGAGGGTGGGGCTCCCATGATGGGGTTAGTGTCCTTGTAAGAAGAGAAAGAATCACCAGAACACTTTCTCTGCATTGTGAGGACACAGAGCAGATGGCCGTCTGGAAGCCAGGAAGAGTTGTTGCCAGAAACCGAATCTGCCGGCCCCTTGATTTTGGACTTCCAGCCTCCAGCACTGTGAGAGAGAAACGTCTGTTTGTATCTCAGTCTGTGGAATTTCGTTACAGCAGCCCCGGCTAACTAGAACACATTCCATCTTGCCTTTCCCACCTCTTCAAGTCCTTCCAGGACCGTCCCCATTTATTTCCTTGTCCACAGCCCCTCCCAAGAAGCACCCCTGACCGGCGAGTCTATTCCAGGCTGTGCACTTCCGTGGGCTAACTTGAAACCCTGGAGTGTCATTGGTTTTTTCAGTGGGGCTGGCTTATTCTAAGACAGAAAACTCAAGGACATCATTCTCATGGTCTTCAAATATCTAAGGGATTATTGTGCTGATAAAGGAAGGGGTCCATTCAGGGTTGCTGGATTCAAAGGAAGAGTGGATTGAAATTCACTGTAGAGGAGACTTTCACCATGAGTGCTGCCCAGCTTGGGCTGGGGCTGCCTGTGGAGGGGGTGAGCCCCCTGTCCCTGGAGGTGTGCACGTATCAGTAAGGAATGTTTGTGAGAGGACTCATGACCTGAGGAGTGGGGACACTCTAAAGCATGGCTTCTAAGCCTCCCATCCCCCAACTCTGAGAACCTGTGGCTTTGCAGTTGTTCAAAATGGGATGCCAGGAGTTGGGAAAGCAATTAAAGAAATCCACTGAAATGAGGACCAAGCTGTAAAAAAAAAAATCTTTATTTCATGTACCAGGATTTTTTTCTTTTTTTTCTTTTTTTAGTTTTCTGCTTTTTAAAATTGTTTTCTGTTAACAGTCTGGAAAAAAAAAAAAAGAGGACCCACCAAGAAAATAAAATGGAGTTTGGTTTCTTGAACTGGTTTGAGCTGGACATGAGCAATCGTCCACCCTGGCAAGCAGTGCCCTTGCCGCCCTGATCCCGGCTCGTCCTCTCCGGGCCCCCAGCCCTTTCTCAGCCATGCTGGTTGCTCCCACACCAAACGGGCTTCTTCAGGAGGACCCAGGCCCCAGGCCTCATGGCCTGGAACGAAGCGCTGATTGCCATCCCAAACCCTCTGCCAGAACTCAGAGAATCGGGGTCAATTTTCCTCCTCAGATAGCGCCCGCTTGTTTGCTGTTTCCTTGGGGCCTCCCCCTTCTCTCAGGTTTGGACTCTGGTGGGGTGGTAGGCGAGGTTGGAGTGGGGGAGGGAGAGATTGTGATTTTTGCCCAGACTGAGAAAGGTTGCCACTACGCCTGGCACTGGCCCCCATTGTCTGCCCTGAGGCCCCGTGGCCTCCCGGGCACTTCTGGGCTGGGCACAGATGTTCTGCCTGTGGCTCATGCTGACTTTAGGGTTCCAGCTGCTGCTGACCTGAGAACAGAGCTTTCCTTTCCCAGACAAAAGACGGGAAGGGCAGCTGGGAGTGTGCAAACCCCAAAAGCTTTGCTAGCCACTCCCCCCAACTCTCCAGAGCTCAAATTAAGAAATTTCAGGCCAGGCCAGCGTCAAAAAGAGGCAAACCAAGACGTGCAGATGGGGGCAGCAGGGTCCCCCACTTTCAGTAGGGTGACTGGCAGGCTGGGCTAAAATTCAAGCTTCGGAAAGCTCTTGGGCTTCTCTCAGTCTGAACTGGCCCTCGTGCCTCTGGGGAGAAAGGGGAGCAACATGGGGTGCCCCGGGCGCCAGTCTGTGGTGTAAGTTGAGCTTTGAGGCTGGTCCTCACCCCAGGACCAAACTTTGTAAAGCTCTCCTCTCCATCCCCTCGGCCTTAACCACCTCCAGCAAACCTCGGAGGGGCTTCTTTTTCTCTGACCTCCCCCAACAACAGTAGCGGAAACCTGGTGGTTGATGTCTTCTCTCAAGGAAGCCCCCTTCCCTCTCTGTAACTGGGTTATGGCATTAAAGAAAGGGGACACAAAATGAAGAGTGGCTTTGGGGACCTCGGTGCCTTTTCCCTCTCTATCTGAATGGCAGGATACGTTTGCTCACATGTGTGTAATTTTTGCTTTGACATTGGATGTGGGGTAGGGGGTTGGGAGCACAGTGAGGAGGCATATGGGGCGTGTGTGTGTGTGTGTGTGTGTGTGTCTGAACGGCTGACTGATGATGATTTGGAAATGTTCTCAATGTCTGGGGGATGGATGGCAGCTATTTTGGTCATCCCTGGCATCTTCCTCTGGGCAGGTGGCAGATCTTAAAAGTCATCGACGCCAAGAATAAGAATAGGCCTTTGGAGCTCATCTGGGTCAGTCCACATGCTTATACAGGGGGAAACTGAGGCCCAGAGAGGCCACACAGCAAGGGATTCCAGAATTCAAAGCTGGACTCTAGACTGGTGCCCCTTCCATGCATGCAAGCACGGTGTGCGTGTGTGTGGTGGGAGGGCACGTGTGAGCATAAAGGCCGATATGGAGCTGTTATTGTTGTCCATGGCTTTGGAGGGCGTGAGTCCGTCTTTTATGAACCCTGCCTCTGGCTGTGTATGGGGGTGGAAGGGTTTAGATGGCATGTGTATCCCTGTGAGTGATTCTACTGCTGGGCTTCAGGGACGGGTGTGTGTGTGTGTGTGTGTGTGTGTGTGTGTGTGTGTGTGTCTGTGTCTGTGTCTGTGAGTGGGGTGTGCGATCTCCTTCGTGAAGACTGGATTCTCCACCCTGACTCTCTTCCACATTAGCAGCACCTTCCTGGGATAAGGAAGAGATCTTTCATCACAGAAACTCCCCGCGTTTCCCTAGGGCCTTTTTCTCTCTCCCTCCTGCTTTAAGCCCAGCTCTAATCTCTCAAAACAGTATTTTTTTTATTTTAATGGATTTGTATATTTGTTTTCTGTTTTCTCTTTACAAGTTCCCTGCTAAATTTTAAGTTCCCCACCCCACCCCATTTTTTGTTTTCACAGTTTAAAGCTGGAAAAGAATTAAAAGAAAAATACTATCTGATTTTCTTGCAAGTAAATCCACTTATATATTTACATTTATTTATAGTCTGTGGTTTTTTTATTAAAAAAAATCACCACTTGTTTTTCCTTTTTCTTTTGTAAAAAGAAACCTTTTTGCAGTGTCATTGTTGGACCCGCTGAACCCTGAGAAGGCTTCAGTGAGTCCAAGGACCCCCAAAGGGTCAGTGAGCCCCCTTCCCAGGGGGTTGGGGGCCTAAGAGTCTGGGGGTCCACCATCGCCCCAGGGTCATTGGGTGGCCCTGAGGTGAGGGGTGAGGAGGGAGAGCTGCTTTATATCCCCCGGGGGGTGGGATCTCCTGCCCCCAAGGACAGGGGCTTGGGGTGGTCACCCCAAGAGGCTCACCCTGAGGATTCCGGGGTTTCTGGGCATCTCGGCAAGCCACCGGCAGCCATCCCCTCTCCTTCCTTTCCCTCAAGGCCTAGGAAGTCATCACAGTGGGTTAAGGACCATTAAGGACTGGGAACCTGGGGGCTGGGCAAGCCCCAAGTGCACCCCCCTCCAGGCACCTTTCGGACAGGAGGGACCAAGGACTCTTGGGTCACCTGGAGGCCTACAGTTGCCCCATCGATGCTGGGTGGAGCAGGCTCGCAAGCCAGGAGCTTGCCCAGCGTTCCTGGGGCGCCCACCCAGAGGCTCCAGGGACTGGCAGTGACCTAGGCTCACCTGGCCCTGGGCCCTCTGAGTCTCCGCCCCCCCACTCACCCAGGGAGGCAGAGCCGGCTTGGGGTTAAAGGGAACAGAAAAGTAACTCTCCAGAGTTAAAAAACAAAAACAGCAAGTAACATAAACCCCTGATAAATGCAAAGAACATCCCCCTTCCTTTCTGTTCCTTCTCCCTTTTTTGCTTTAATGTTATCTTGGTTCCCTTTTATTTTTTCATTTAAATTGGTTTTTATTAAATGTTAAAATAATGGTACATGGGAAATCATGCATTTTCTTTTAGATTTATTTTCTATTTTAAATTTTTTATCCTCTCTTGCTTTTTTTTAAAGTTTGTTTTTCCTTCCCTCGTTTATTTTTTTTCACATTTCCTGTTGTTTGGCTTCTTTGTTCCTCTTATAGTTTGTTCTTTTTTTTTTTTTTAAATTTACGTATGTTTTTCTCTTTTTTTTTTGTTTTTTTTTGCTTTTGGAAGGATTTTTTTCCCCCGTGGATGATTTGGTTTTCCCCACCCTCCCCCCACCCCCCGGCCCACCTCGCGGGCCACACCCCCACTCCGGGCTCTGCCTGGGACCCGGCTGGCGGCGCTGGCGAGGCCCCCGCAGCCTCATACGGGGGTGGTCCGGCGGTTGGCTGTGTTGGAGTGGAGCGAGTCTTTGTTCTCCTTCTGGATACAGTTGTGAACTTGGAGGAAGCTGTTATCCCTGTCGGAGTTGTAGGTGGCGGTGGGCGTGGTGGCGGCCTTCAGGGGGTCCCTGCTGAGGGTGTACATGGAGATCTCCGTGGACGGCAGGGTGTTGAAGCCCTTGAGGCCCACGGGGGAGGCGTCCCTGGAGTGTGAGGGCTCAGTGGAGCGGGAGCTGGAGCGGCTGCGGCGCTGGTAGCGATAGCGGTAGCTGGGGATGCGGGTGATGGCGGAGGCCTGGAGGTAGTCCGTGGCGCGGGCCGTGGCCCGCAGCTGTTTGTGCCGGTCGATAAACATGTGCACGGCCAGCACCCCGACCATCTCGGCAATGATGAAGGACAGGGCCCCGAAGTAGAAGGACCAGCCGTACGAGTAACTATTCTTTTTGGAGTCGCTCTTGGAGGGGTCTCCGGCATTGGCAGATATGTACACTATGATGCCAATGATGTTACTCAGACCTGCGGGGCACAGGGTGGGCACGGAGTCAGGGCGGGGCAGAATCAGAGAGAAGGCCGTTAATTTCCACGCAGGATGCTGGGCACTGGGCGGGATTAAGGGGCAGGGACAGCTAGCCGGATGGGACTTCCCTGGTCCAACGTTTTCACAGTACACGGATGGGTGGGTGTAGAGGGCCGCTGGCAAACATCACCTGAATATTTTATCATTCCATTTGAAGGGAACCACAAAGGGCAGAGCTAATGGAAACAGATATGGAAGAGGGGCGAGAAGAGAGAGGCATTCTACAACGTACTGAGAAATAATAATAATAGAGACTGTTTATTGAGTATTCACCCCCTGTCTTCACTGCTGAGTGCTTTTCAAGGTGTTTACAAATGAGGAGGGAATGGATCACAGAGAGAGACCCAAAGGGATCGTCCTGCTCAAGGCTGCCCAGGGGTTCGAAGCCGAGGCAGCAGCGGGTCAGGGCTGGCTCCTGGAGCCAGATTGCCCCATCAGAGCTTTCAGCAAGGTACCCTTAGCCTGAGTTCCCAGATCTGGGGGATGGGGATAATGACAGGACTTGCTCCTGCAGGGCCATGGAAAGGCTTAAATGAGTTAATACATGTGAAAGCTGTTGGAATCTAGGACGTGGTAAGTGCTGCTTAAACATGTCATTCTTATTAAACTGCCCACGCTACAGCCCATGCTCTTTTCCTAGCACTGGAAGCACGTGTGGCTTGTCATGTAACTGGGCTGAGAAATGTGGCTTGGCTGCCTACCGGCTCCCACCCGGGAGCAGTGAGGATAGGCCCAGTGCCCTGAGAGGGACCGGGATTTGGGCCCTTTTCTAAGAAGTGGGAGGAAGATGGGCCATTGAGGTAAGGAACAGGGTCTGGGGTGTTCCTGGAGGACTCCGGGGGGCTCAGGTGGGAGCCCCAGCACAACCTAAAGCTTCCCTGCAGCACAACCTGTTCCAAGGCCTGGAGATTCTTCTCCTCCCTCCCGTCCGCTCTCTGCCAGGTCCTCCCAGCCACTGGGCACCCAAACCTCAGCCTTCTCCTATCTGGCAGGCCTGGGCTCTGGCCGGCCCAGCTTTGTGGCCATTACCTGCAGACACGAAGAAGATGCCGGCACTCAGGATGATGTTGTGTCGAGTCTTGTAGAACTCGCTTGCTGCGATGCAGAGTCCACCCATGAAAAGCAGAATCACACTCAGGATTGGGAAAATGCTCGAGGCCCTCACAGCCCCTGCAGAACATGGAGGGTCAGGGAGAGAGAGAACAGGGCTGTGAGATGGCGGGATGCAGGAGGGAGGAGAAAGGGTAGCACACAGGAGTGGGGGTTTTATGGACGTAGGACCAGAGTGGAGGTTGCTTAGCAATACTAGGGAGAGGGAGCAAGCCACTGCCCAGCTCACAGCCCTTCAGGGGCTCATCTCTGCCTAAAGGACCAAACTCCAGGGCCTCATGAGGCCCACAGGGCCCTGTGTGACTGTCTCTGCCCATCTCCAGCCTCAATGCCTATGTTTCCTCTTGTCCAGCCCCAGCAGACTTCCTGTATCATGTTATTGCATGCTTGTGCCTGTTGACATTCTGAGCTTTTTCACTAGAATGTTTTTCTGGCTCTTTTTCATTCTGCAAACTTCTATTCATCCATCAAAACCCAACTCAAAGTCCCCTTGACTGTGAAACCTTTACTGATTTCCTTAGGTAAAGTTTTAGCTTCTTCCTCTGTTCTTTGGGGTACTTGGGACACATTGAGAGGTAGTGTGTTATAGTTGTTAGGGAACCACTGGATTTGGGATTTGAATCTGGGTTTAGCATTTGTTAGTTGTGTAAGTTTTGGTAAATTTATCTCATCTCTCTGTGCCTCGATTTCCTCATCTGTAAAACTGGGATGGTAGTAGTGCTTGTCTCCTAAGGTTGTTGTAAGGATTAAATAAGTTGATTCTGACAGTGCACTTAAATATGTCTCTGAGCGCATATGGTAAATATTTGATCAGTGATAGTATCCAGGTGAGCATACGTGGGGCAAACGTAAGCTGGGGTGAAAGGATGAAAGCATGGGGTCAGAGGCACCTGGGTTACTCTACATTCTTAGCTCCTTCTCCTCCGCAGGCAGGCACAGGGCTGCCTTCTCCCCAGACCTGAGTGGATGTTCTCTTCTTTCAAGTCATTTCTAAGCTAAGGAGCTGCGTCCCCAGCCTGATCCCCCAGCCCACACATACCTGCACAGGCGCACATGCATGCCTGGACGTGCACACTCACAGCTGCCTGAACTCTCACCCTCGTAAGCACACAGGGTCGGTGAGAGCTTACTGAAGACCCAGGAGAGAGATAATATTGGTTAAGTACCCACTCTGTGTCAGATCTTGAGTGGGTACTTAACAGAAACATTATATAATTTAACCCTCAGAACAGCCCATGCAGGGTGTGTTGTCTAGCTCCAATTTACAGATGAGAAAACTGAAGTTCAGAGAGGTGAAGCAACTTGCCCAACTTGTGAGGCAGAATGGGGATTTTGGAGTTAGTTCAAATCCTGGCTTTTTCACTTACTATCTGTGTGACCTTGGGCAAGAGTCTGTACTTCTCAGAGCCTCAGTTTCCCCATCCTGTAAAGTGGGAAGAGCAGTAGTAATCTCCAGCTTACAGGAATGTGGCAGGGCTTGCTGCTGAAGGGCGGCCTGAGCACCAGCATCGCGAGTACCACGAGGGAGCTTGATAGATATACAGATTCTCAGGCCACACCCTGGACCTACTTACCTACTGAATTAGAGTGTGCATGTTAATAAGAGCCTCATAATAAGATTTGTATGTTCACGAAAGTTTGAGAAGCACTGTTGTAAGGATTAAATAGTATAAAATCTGTATTGTTTCCAATGCTGGAAGGCGTACAGTAAAATATAGCAATTTTTGGGCCGGCCGAGTGGCGCATTGGGTAAGAGCTGGCTTGGGACGCCAGAGGGTCCCGGTTCAGATCCCACATGAGGGCCAGTGACACTGCCCTCCACAGCTAAGATGCTGAACAACGGCTCAACCTGTAGCTGGGCTGCCATGAGCTGCTGGTGATGGCGTAGGCTGCAGCCCCTGCGGCAGTGGGTTGCCATGGGCTACCGTGTGTAGCCAGCAGCCAGTGTGAGCGGCCAGCAGCCACCGTGAGCGGCCAGCAGCCACCGTGAGCGGCCATCCAGAAGCCGGCGACTGATCTGCCTCGCCCGGGAAGAGCGCAATGATGGTGCTAACTTGGGCCTGTGAAGCAACATCCTCCACAACTAGACTGAAGAACAAAAGGGCAGCAACTTGTCTGTTCCCCTTCCCCCAATTCCCCAGTGCTGTTCCCATCCCCCAATTCCCCAATAAAAATCTTAAAAAAAAAAAGATAGCAATTTTTATTATTTCTTGTGACCCTCCCCCTTCAGTGCTGACACAGCTTCCCCATGAATTGTCCTGATTTCCCACCGAGGCTGGTATGGCCTTAGTCCTAAAATCTATCACAAGAAGCATAAAATACCTGATTTATTTGATGAACAGAGATTATTGACCTACGAGTAAGCAAATGGAACTGCACAACACTTACTAATACTGACGGAGCTCTTCCTCTGTGCTAGGCCCTGTTCTAAGTGCCTTCCATGGATTAACCCATTTAAATCTCATACCAATCCCATAAAACCACAGGCCTGGGCTTCGAGGAGATTACAAATACCTGCAGTAGGTGTTGGCAACTTTTTTCCGTACAGGGACAGATAATGAGTACCTCTGGCTTTGCTGGCCATACGGTTTCTCTTGCAACTACTCAACTTGGCCATGGTAGCATGAAAACAGCCATAGACAATGTGTAAAGAAACGAGTGTGGTTGTGTTCTAATAAAACTTCATTTATAAAAGCAGACGGTGGGCCGGATTTGGCCTGCTAGTTGCATTTTGGCCACCCCTGGCTGGAGGATAATACGCTGCACTGGGGAAAGGCTGCATGGCCTGGAGCATGGAGATGCATTGCTCTTGACAACCGGGAGCCCTGTGAATAAATGCAGACTGAGTGCCGACCGCTGTGCCCGGTTCTAGGCTGAAAGACGAAAGGATGGCCAAACAGGCCTGGCCCAGGACTTTTTAGGGCCTCCGTTCTCAAGAAGAAGGTACATGTCATCAGATAATAATGCGAATAAATGTATAATTATCAACCAGGGTAGTGTTATGAAAGAAAGGTACCCATAGGGCACCATGACGGTGTGTGACAGGCTAATGCTCATTGAGTGCTTCGTGTATGCTGGGACTATTCTAAGCACTGTACATATTAGTACTCATTAGTACTAACTGCCACCCTATGAAGTAAGAACTTTAATTACTCCCATCATACACGGCTAAGGCTGAGGCACAGAGAAGTGAAACCATTGGCCAAGGCCACCCAGCGAGGAAGTGGAGGAGCGGGGTTGTGAGCCCAGGCAGTGTGACTGCGGGTGCTGTGCCTGACCAGTGCGCTGTTCTGCTTTCAGGGGGTGTGTTCCGTGGGGCTGGGGATGCTGGGAGGTCGGCAGACCCAGGCCCAGTACCCACTCTTTGCCTAGCTTTCCGTGGAACCCAAGCGTGTGCCTTCCCTTCTCTGTGTCCAGGTCTGCTCTCTGATGGGGTTGGACTAGATGATCTCTAAGGTCCTGTCCATCTCTGATAGTCCTGTGTCCTCCAAGATCTCCTAGGGCCCACTCAGCCAGGCCAGGCTGCCGTCATACCTACCGTATTTTCCCATGTGTAAGACGCACCCTTTTTCAAAAATCTGGGGTCTGAAAACTGGGTGCATCTTATACAGTGGTGGTAGATTTTTTTACTTGCATTTCCCGCAAGTGATGAGGAGTTGTATGAATTTTATGATGAATAAAACTTTTCAATAACTTTATGTAATACATTTTATTCAAATTTCGGGCCCCAAAATTAAGGTGCATCTTATACATGGGAGCGTCTTATGCATGGGGAAATACGGTACTCCCTGTGCCAGTCGTGGCCTTTAATAAAAATATTCGTCATAATCAGGCACAGGGAGGGCGATTTTCTGGGCATGGTGTTAAGCTCTTTATGCCTGCTATCCCATTTGGGATTTGATCCCTTCTAATGGGATAGAATCACAGATGTGCTGGGGTGTGAGGGACGTCTAGGCTCTTGGGCGTCTCCCCCTCGCGCCTCGCTCCATGCTGTGCTGGGTAGGGCAGCCAGCGACTGACTGAGAAAGGGGATGGGCTGCAACAAATGCGTGTGTAAGCGCGCGTGTGTGAGAGTCTGCAAGAGTGTGTGTGAGTGTAAGAGAGTGGGTGGGGGGAGAGGAGAGAGAAGAAGGAAGAGAGAGAGAGAGAAGGAGAGAAAAAGAAAAGAGGAGAGTAGGGGGGCCGAGGGAGGGAGGGAGAGAGAAGGTTATTGGAGAAGAGAGCGAGACCTCAGAGAGAGAGAGAAGGAGGGAAGAGAAGAAGATGGGTGAGGGGAGGGGAGAGGAGTGCAGAGTGGTGGCTGGAGCATGGGCTCCAGAAGCGGACTGCTTGGCGTCCCATCCTGGCCCTCCCACTGCCTTGGTGGCCTCTGGGCCCCACCTTTCTCATCTGTGTAATGGAGACACCAACAGTACCTACCTTTTAGGGTTGTTATGAAGGTGGATGAAGATAATTTTAAAGTGTCAGGCCTGGCACAGACATAGTCAGGTGTCCGGTGCATGTCGGCTACATATAATGACACATGAAAGGAACGCGGAAGCCCAGTGAGCTTCCCTTGGGAGCGCCATCTGTGCAGGTGCCGTGCTTTCCCAGTTCCCGTTGTCTCTGGGGTTGGTGAACAGCTGCAGCTCAGGACCGAGATGGCCTGAGCGTGTCTCACCTGCCATGTTGCCTGCCCTCCCTGAGCCTCAGTTGTCTCCTCTGCCGTAGGGAGACAGTCAGGCACCCAGCTCAGGGAGCTATGATGAGGGGTCACAAGGAAACACATTTGAAGCAATTAGAACAGTGCCTGGTACCCAACCAGCCCCGGGAAATGTTAGTTCTCCCCATAGCAGAGCACATTGTTGTGCTGCGGTTACCTCGGCTGGCGTTTGTTAAGTGCAGGTTGTGACTCATGACTGGGTCGTGCAGTCAGCATGGTGGCTGCAGCCGGCAGTTAAACAAACGAGCCAGGACAGAATAGAAACTGCCAGCGTGCGCAGTGTGCGCGAAGGGCAGGCACTGTTTTGTGAAATGTCTCAGGTCTCCTTCCTGGGGAGGACGTTCCTGGCCACCCTACT